GGTGGTGGGGTGGGTGCCGAAAGGCCAATGAATTGGGCTCTTGAGTTTTGTAATTTTAGGTAAGCTAGGGCTTAATTGTAATGAATAGGTAAGTTGAGGGTACGATAGCCGATAGACTCTGAATTTCGAAGTCTCTTGACAGAGGTAAGCCTTGGTTGCCAGTGGTGAACCGGCAATGGTTTACTATCCGGACGGCAATGGTTTACTATCTGCACGGTAATGATTTACTATGCGGCATGGCCATAGTCTACTACCCGCACGGCTTCCGGACGGCAAATGGTTTACTATCCGCAAGGCAGTAGTCTACTATCCGCACGGCAATGGTTTACTATCCGGTGCCCTGGCTGTCGGCGAACCTCTGTGCAAGGAGGGAGAATGAAGGGGAACTTTCGACTATCGCACCATTAACAATTTATTATAGATTAGTTAAGGTAATTGAATAGGTAGATAGGATTATTTTTATTAAGCAATTTGAGATGCAGGCACCGCTAAGCTTTCTGATGAGAATTTTTTCTTTCTCCATTCCACGGGCTGTGTTCCAACAACAATCTCGAGGAGGACTGGCACCAGTTTTGGAGGACAACGCAGGAAACGGAAGGCACTCATCATTTTGCCTTTGTCGAATGGACGACGGTAAGTTTTTTTTACATTTTACTTACTTTATTATTTTAAAATATTATTTATTTGCCATTATTTCCATTTCATAATTTTTTGCTTCTAAGATTCTAACATTCATTTACTACTACGCAAATAAAAAAATTTTGTTTACAGAATGATGAGAGGTGGGCAGTGGTGGGAGTCAGCACGTTTTAGATGGTGGTCTCATGATGATTTACATATGATGATGGTGGTGTAGGAAAAATCAGCTCGTTGGCTGTTCGACTGACACTCTGAAGTTCGGATGGTATTTTGTGTTCCGACCAGATGGTGGTGGTCGGTGCAATGGAAAGTACAGTAACGACGATTTTTGAAGTAAGGTTTAGTTTCGTTTTTTATTTTTCTCAGTCGTTCATTTTATCACTCACCCTTTTAAATTATTCTTCTATTAATTGATTCGTTAATTCATTCTATTCATTAATTGAATCATTGATTTATTAATTAATTCATTCATTCACTCATTCATTCAACCAATTATTCAATCATTCAGTTAATCATTTATTCGATCGTTCCTTTGTTCCTTGATTTACTAATACGCTATTAAAAAAATGTCTACAGAATGATGAGAGGTGGACTGTGGTGGGCATCAGCACGTTTCAGATGGAGGTCTCATGATGATCGTTCCGATGACAATTCGAAGATAACAACAACGACGGTTTTTGAAGTATGATTTAGTTTCTTTTTTTTATTTTTCTCATTCATTCATAAAATTCATTTTATCGCTATCTTTCAAATTATTCCTCAGTTACTGTATTCATTGATTCACTCTATTCATTCATTAAATCATTGGTTGATTAATTAATTAGTTAATTTATTCATTCAACCAATCGTTCAATCATTCAGTTAATCATTTATTCGTTCGTTCCTTTGTTTCTTGATTTACTACTTCGCTAATTAATAAAAACTTGTCTACAGAATTATAAGAGGTGGGCTGTGGTGGGCGTCAGCACGTTTCAGATGGTGGTCTCATGATGATCGTTCCGATGACAAATCGAAGATAATGTTAAAGGTAAATTTGTTTTTGTCTCATTGTACCTTTGAAAGTACTCGAATTTGAACAAAGATTGAGTGTTATCTCAAAAAGATAAGTTGCCTATTTTTTCCAATTGCTTGTTTTTTATTTTAGTGAATTAATTTCTTTTTTCAATTTATTTTTCAGTATCCGGTCAAATTCATTCCATCGATGCGTGTCAGATGATGGTCGGTGTAATGGAGGTTCGTCGGTAGTGAGTGAAGTTTCTGGAGAGCCCGCGCCCGCACATTTACATACACACACATCAATACAACACATACATACACAGCATCCATTCATTCGGTGTCGTTGTTGCTATGTTTCTCTTCAGCTTTATATTTTCTTTACCGTGAACCGGGCTTTAATTTAATTCATAGGTAAGTTAGGGACTGAGATGAGTCAAACAATTGTAGGTAGGCTAGGGCTTAACGTTAGTTAAAACGTTTCAAGTAAAATAAAAACGCTAAAATGTTAAATAAAATATTTGAAACAACTAAAACGAGAAATACAAATTTGTAGGTAAGTGAGTTGAGTCAATGTTAATAAGTAAGCTAGGGCCCTGAGAGTAATTTTATTATAGGTAGGTGACTGACTATTATTCTTGCGACTTCTTACTAGTTTTGTGTGATGTGTTTGTTTTCGCTTCACAACACCACACCAACAAAACAAACTACATTTCATTCTCGTCGTCGCATTAAATTGTACCTTTTTGAACAATCTTTTTGATAATGTCTATTTATTTATTCATTAAATGTTGACTGGTTTCTAGTTTTTTTTAAACTGGTTATATAATTTTTGGATATTTCATGATTTACTCTGTATATATGCCTGTATAAATTATTTCTGTTTAGTATGTTGATTTAGTCATTATGATATGTTGTGAACTGTTCTCACTAAATGTTCATGTTACGTGGTTTATTATCCTTCGAGAACTTCTAAGGAGTGTGTGTGATAATAATAATAATGGATAATAATTATTTTTATCGGTCGATATTTTGTTATATTTGTTTATTTAAAATACGAATTTTCAAAAAAAATTGACATTTTAAAATTTTAATTAACCGTCACTTTTCATTTTTGAATGAATTCAAATAAAAGCAACTACTGTGTTTTTCTTTCTTTACTAAAATCTCGAAATTGTTTGTAGATCTGTACGGTTAACTGTTTGTTCGAGTTTGAACAGGCCTTGCAAATTTTTTTTATTTATTTTTGTTTTTATTTTTGTTTATTTGGTTCATTCAATTTAGTTGATTGATCGGTTGGTTGATTGATTGACTGACAGACTGACTGACTGGCTGGCTGGCTGACTGACCGACTGACTGATTGATTGATTTATCTCATAGTATTGTATACATGAG